TTTTTTTTGTCCATATTTCAGCTCGTATTCCAGATTCTGAATCAATGACATGATGAGAAGTAACGAGGAAAATCTCAGGCTTACGTCTTGATGAGCTCCTGAAATAGATTCAAGATAAACTTTATTTGTCACACACACATTTACACTCAGTACAGCGTGCAGGGAAATGAGGTGTTTTGTAGCAGCATCCAGTTACAACGAAAAGAAAAACAGAGAAATAAGAAAAAATAAAGTAAAAATAAGTGTTCATGAAATACACATACTTCATGTACATATACATACACATAAATAAATCAGATGAATAAAGCAGATATCCCTTCAAACAGCTGCACATTTTCATATTTTTTATAAAGTGCTGAATCTGATTTATTCTAGGAAGCGTTTCTTATCTCACGTTAGAATTCCACAAATGTCTTTATAAACATCTGAATTTTATGCGATGACAATCAGAGATGTTGGAGCAGAACCGGGTTGTAGAAACGTTCTGATGTGATCTGATGCCGTCTGTGTGACTCTGTGCTTTCCCTCCAGAGGAGCGTTTGCCTTTCACTGCGATCTACCACACGGTGGGCTTCAAGGAGAGCCAGGCCAGAGTCTTCCTGTCGTCTCCCATCACCGCCAAGATCCTGGAGGTGGAGCGCTTCACCTCGGCTCAGGACCGCTTCAACGTCACCACGCAGAGGAGCGTCAACAAGGTGGGCGAAGGCGTTCCAGGTCGACCACGCAGACCTGGTGACACGAGAACGTTTCAGGTTTATTCCGTCTCAGATCTCCAGGTCAACAAGTTCTGCACCTGCCTGAACTTTAAGACTTTAAATCAGGAGAAAACCACCCGATCAGGTGGATCCATTCATTCACCCGTTTGAAGTCTGAACATCTGTTAAAGGACGAGAAGGTTTAATGTTTCTATCAGTGTTCAGCTTCTTCCAAAACCCTTTTTGAACTTTGAAACCTTAGTAAATAAATAAAACCACCGTCGACCTTCTGCTAGACCTGATTCAAATGATCAGGATCATTATCAGGCTTCTGCAGAGCTTGATGATGAGCTGATCATNACGTACCCGCTTAGCTGCGTTGTTTTGTCGTTGTCTCCACAGCAACAAGGAGTGCGTATCTTCGTAATGCTGTACAAGGAGGTGGAGTTAGCTCTGGGCATCAACTCTGGATACAGCAAGAGGACGCTGCTGCACCTTCACCCCAACATCAAGGTGAGCATCGGTCTGGGAAGATGTTTCTGAACGTTTTCTTTGCGTCTCCTCTGAATTCTTGTGTTGTTCCGTTCCTCAGGTGATGCGTCACCCGGATCACGTCTCCTCCGCCGTGTACCTGTGGGCTCATCACGAGAAGATCATCGTCATCGACCAATCGGTGGCCTTCGTGGGCGGGATCGACCTGGCGTACGGACGCTGGGACGACCGCGAGCACCGGCTGACGGACGTTGGGAGCGTGACGCTTTCTCACCTGGAGCAGGTCTCACAGACGTCTGATGGATGTTGTTGATATTTTATTTTTCAAAAATATTCACCCCCCAGTATGTTTCCCCCTTTATTGCTTTTCAACATTGAATCATGGTCGTGACCAAGGATTATGAAGGAACGTCCCTGTTCAAGTGCAGACACAAAGTCTCTATTGGATTGAATCTTGGTGGTCTCCTTCACTAGTCTCCTTCTTGTGACTCCTTCAGAGGAGTCATAGGAGTCTTGGTGGCCTCCTTCACTAGTCTCCTTCTTGTGACTCCTTCAGAGGAGTCATAGGAGTCTTGGTTGCCTCCTTCACTAGTCTCCTTCTTGGTTGGTCGGTCAGTTTTTGAGGCTGACCTGCTCTATGCAGATTTACATGTGCACCGTATTCCTTCCATTTCCTACTGATGGATTTGACTCCAAGATATGTATTCATTGACTTGAGGGTTTTCTTCATCCCTGACTTGTAGGGTTCTTCAGTCTTCATAGTGTAGTTCTATCCAGGAGAACCACGTTCCAGATACAACAGTCTTTATATTACAATCACTGAGACACATTCACTGACGTCAGATGATCTTTATTTCCAGCTGTATGACTGTTTTTTTATCTGCATTCTACATCATTTCTACAGAAGTCAGTATATTAACACTGAACTCCAACTACAGGCTGCCGCTGCGTCTTCCAATATGGCCGCCCCCGCCAACGGCAGCGGCGCCGCCTCCCAGAGCAACGGGAAGGGCATCTTCACGGTGACGGACTCGGTGGACCAGCCCAAGCTGAAGGGTCAGGGGAGGATGAAGAGGACCAGGTTCAGCATCAGGAGACACCTGCAGAAACACGGGCTGGCCCACGCCGACAGCGACAGCGACCTGGAGGAGGAGGACAGTGAGTAACTCGCTTCGTTAAGGAGAGACAGCGGAAGCTCCTCTGGTTGTTTATTTAAGGAGGAGGGTCGCTAATAATCAGCACTACTGATAAAGTAAAGTCATCGTTCCACCTTTCCTGACTGAATGAACGACTCCGGTCTCAGCCCCAGAGATGTTCTATACGTCATGTTTTACTCTGACAGAACGTCTATTATTTAAACCCAAACTGTGACACCAGACGGCTGCTGGATGCACACTAAACACACACTAAACACACTTTAAACACACTTTAAACACACTTTAAACACACAATCAGCTCATCAGCAAACATCAACCGAACCCACAAACGAGAAGGGAAAGAAATAAACAGTAAAGAAATGTATTTGTTTTAAACATAAATTAAAGAAGAAGCAAAAGAAAATTGTATTTAAAATTATTAAATTGTATTTTTTTATTCCTTTTTTAAAATTTATTTAAATTATTTATTTATCCTACTTATAATTAACGTGATTAATTTGTGATTTATTTATTCTCCTTATTGTTTATTAAATTATTTATTTAGTTGTTTTTGCTGTTTTTTTAAAGAATTTAATTAATTATTTAATTTATTCTCTCTCTCTTTAGTATTTAGTAAATTTTTTTATTCTCTTCATTTTTTATTTTGAAAATAATAATAAGCTATTCTCTTTCAAAATTACTAAATTTATTTATTCTATTCAGTCTTTATTAAATTTATGTAGTTAGTTAGGTATTACCTTTATTCTTCATTATATGTATTTATTAGTTTTTGTTTTTTATATAAATAATGTATTTTCTAGTCTGTTGAATCCTTTTATTTATTGTCCTTCTGGTTTTATGGGTTTGTCGAAGTCGTCAGTCTTCATTTAGTGTCATTATTATTAAAGGACACATTTAGAGTTTGTGTGACTCTAGATTCTGTAACTAATTAAAACGACTTAATCTGGTTTTATTACATCAGAGTGTGACGTAAAAAAAACTCCTGATGTTGGTTCGAAGCTTAAGAACCTGAACATGTGGAAAACTTTCTGTTTTTTCTGTTGGTTGCATTAAAGTGAAAAATATAAAATCTGAAACGACTAAAAAACAAACGATGCAGCAGCTTTGGTACCAGACCAGGACTCTCAGCCTCTCCTGTCGCTCTTCGCCGTCGCTGCTCTTTGTGGCGTTCAGGTTGGTCGAGCAGCGTCAGCAGCCACCAGACGCTGATCCCCGGCAGGCTGCTGGAGCTGAAGGCGGCGCCGCTCGGCCAGCAGAACCCGGCCGGTGAGTCGGGAAGCAGCCAGGACGCTCGCTTCCTGTTTCCCAGAGTGCTTTGCTGTGGTTTGACCTCTAACCTCTGTGCGGCCTTTGGTTCTGTGCCAAAGGCTGATTTTTTTAATTTATTTTTTTACCCTCTAAAGAAAGAATCAGTTTTTTTGGTTCTGTTGATTCCAACTTACCACAACGAGCCCCAGTGAGTGAACAGATCAGCTCCTGAGTAGAAGCTGTTTTAAATGAGGTCACATTCAGCAGCACAAACACGTCCTGAAGTCGTTTCTCATCAACACGAGCTGGAATTTGTACCCAATCACCGTAATTATGAACATTTATGAGCTTTTAAGTTTGGAAATTAGTTAAATTGAGTAAATTAATTAGAGGAGGGGATTCAAAATCCTTAATTTAATGAATTTATCTCAACTTGAACTTGTGTTTACATCAACTTTTGCAGAAATATGAGTGTAAATCACACAAAATATGACGTTGATGCAACGTTACAGCAACACAACCCTCAAAATAATGTTCACAACTTAAAGATTTTTATCTCAATCAGCAAATTAGACGTTTGTTCTTGTATTTTGAACGACGTGATGAGAACCAGAGTGTAACTGGTTTTGTAGCAAAAAGATTTTTCCTGATAATCGGACTGAACTTTTTTGATTTATCGATTTGTTTGAACTAAAATCCATCGATGTCCAGTTTAGTTTCACATAAGATGGTAAAAGCAGCTGGAATCGGCTCATTCTGAATCAAATTTGATTAATTTAAACGTCTTTTTGAAGCACAAAGCCTCAATATTCAAACACGGCACATCGTTTTAAGATCCCATCCCGACAGCAGCAGCAGATCTCACAGTCAGACAGGGATTCCTCGTCTGTAGCGGCACAAACTCGTTGACTCTTCACAGCTTTTAGTCGTTTTTAATAAAATAGGAGTAAAAGTTAAAGTTTAAATCAAGCAGAAATAGTCCCATATCTGCTGTCAACAGTAGGAATTAGCAGGTTTTCTTTCTTCTGTTTGTTGTTTGAACAGCTTTAAGCTTTAAGTTGCTTTTGTTCCACTTTGTAATCGAATTTAATCCAAATTAGTCGCAGGAGGAACAGACAGAGTGGCTGATTAAGAAGTGAAGCTGCAGAGAAAATGAAAACCAACTGGTGCACACAGCTAGAAGAAGTTTTTTCTGATTATTATTATAATTTGAAGCCTCTGATCAGCTGCTCTGACTTTAAGCATCTCTCTGCCTGAAACAGACGCTGCAGGTTTTCTATCGGCGGCTGTTTGCTTCACTCGTCTCCGTTTGTTCTGCTGATGAGACACGAAGCAAACAGATTCAGAACCGTTAAAAACAGCCTTGTTGTTGGTGCTTTCTCTTCTCTTTTGCCTTTTTTCTGGATGATTAAACCGCTCGAGTGTCACGTTTTAATCGGTTTCAGCGGGTAAGTGAACTGATCGTGTGCTTCTGTTCTCCCTCCAGCTTCATTTATTAAAGGTGAAGCGTTTTCCAAACACCGCCGTGTCTCTGGCGGCTTTATAAACACCTCAGACTGTGGTGGAGACGACCGGAGCTTCTGTCCTGCTCGTTTACGTCCAGTTAAAGCAGCGTTCTGAGCTTTAAGCAGTTTTTTTTTTACCTGTATCAGTAGAAACATGGATAAAGACCCGTGAACTAACATCTAGTTGAACAACCTTTGAGCCAATCACTGCCATCAGGTGTTTCTGTAACTCAGTCAGACTGATGCACCTGTTGACAGGTATTCTGACCCACTGCTCATCAGCAAAGGCCTCTCATTTGTTTTGTTTATTTTTTTAAATTATTCTTTTCAACCACAATCCAAAAGCAACCTCTTATTTCACTACATTATAATTTAGCAAATTTTTATTTATTATTACTTTTTCCAGTTTCTAGTTGTTTGAGGGCCTGCTGTGAGTTTTGTCTTTTCTTTAATGGATGAATTAATCTGAGTGGCTCCTCTGGATGAACTGCATCCACACAGAAACTAGAAAACCTTCAAACACATGAGGAACGTCTTGGTTTCAGGAGCCAGACCTCTAAATCCTTTTAACGGTGAACATGTTGCGTTCCAGGAAGCGGCTCGGTGCGAAGCCTGCACACCGGCGTCGGGGAGCTGCTGGGAAACACCCGGTTCTGGCACGGGAAGGACTACTGCAACTTTGTGCACAAGGACTGGATCCAGCTGGACAAACCCTTCGACGGTGAGGACGCCGGCCGCCGAGCGCCTCCTCTCTCCCGCTCCTCCTCTTCTGTCCTCCTCACCTTCTGCCGTTTCTGCCGTTTTTCAGACTTCATCGACCGGCACACGACTCCCAGGATGCCGTGGCACGACATCGCCTCGGTGGTCCACGGGAAGGCGGCTCGAGACGTGGCGAGGCACTTCATCCAGCGCTGGAACTTCACCAAGGTGCTGCTGCTGAGAGGTTTAGTTCCAGCAGAAGCTTGAGATGATTCAATATGAACACATTTAACTGGCTGAAGATTTGTGACAGATGAGAGTTTGGATGTTTTAGATTTAAAAACAGGCGTCTTGTTGTTATTTCTGCTGTAATTGAAGCTGTAATTGTTTAAAAAATGGAAATATCAAGCAAATTAACATAAATCATTACTTATTTATATACATATAAATGTAGGTTTTTAATTGTCTTTATTTTATGTCATTTATTTTTTTCTTCTTACATTTTTTTTTTGTATAATTTATCCAACTTTCATGAATTAATTTAGTCCCTGTTAGAGTTGCACGTTTTCTATTTATGTTAATTTGCTCAAAGCTAAACTCACAGTAAATGATCTTATTGTGAAATTTTATTTTATTTTTAATTAGATATTGTTTCTGTCCAGCTCTGCTCTCCATCATATCATTTTTCTCCAAATTAAATACACGCAAATATTTCTAAATACGTACATTTGAAGAGAAACAATCTGTTGCATGACTTGTTTTTTCAGGAATATTATAAAAATCAGAAAAGTGAAGGATTTACTGTTGAGTTTGTTGCCTGAAGACTTTTTATTTCTTTATTGTTTTACATTTTTTAAAGTTTGATTCGCAGCAGAAATAACAAACCGACGCTTGTTTGATTATAGAAGATGATTTCTGTGATGATTTTGTTTCTAAAGTGAACAAAAGACAAAACAAACTGCATTCAGTCATGAGGGTCTCTAAAGTTTAAACTCTCATCCACTGTTCTTCTGTTCTTCCACCAGCTGGTGAAGCCAAAGTACCGCTCGCTGTCGTACCCGTACCTGCTGCCCAAATCTCACACCACGGCCGGAGAGCAGCGGTACCAGGTCCCCAACTGCATCCAGACCAAAGTCCAGGTCGGTACCGGCCCGGTTCTGGGTTTAGGTTTAAACTTCTGGATTCCGAGCAGCTTCTGGGTGTTTCCTGTTTAGAAAAGTTGGATTTCTTTGATTATTCTGATGATTATTTATTTTACAAAATTGAGAAAACAAAGAAGCAACAACATTTTCCCCACAGGTTCTATTTACACTGGATTAAAAACTACACTACAGATGTTCCACCATCA